ATTCTCTCTCCTCTTCATCATCAACTCTCTTCTCTACTTTTTCATCTCCATTTGAAGGATTCTGATGGAATTGAGAATCATTATTATGATTTAATGCTTGTTCCGATTGCAATTTGTGTGTTTAATTTACTACTATAATTGAATTGGTTTCCCCAAATTCTGAATCCCTAAATTGGGTCGTGGGTTAGGGTTAATCTTGAAGGGGACTTGGTTTGTGCAAATGGGGTTTTCGTTTTTTTCGGATTTGATTGCAAATTGGTTTCCCCAAATTCTGGAATCCCTAAATGGGCTTTTCGTTTTTTTCGGACTTGGTTTGTGCAAATGGAATGTATTCATGTTTTGGAAGAAGGTTTGTTGCTGAGGGTAATTACTCGAGTTACCGACTTCAATGGATTCTTCCGCCATGGATTTAGACGACGAACTTGAAGATCATCACCAGTAGCAACAAGACGACATCGATCCATTCATCAAATTCATCAATTACGCAAGCTCCATGGGTGGGGTTTCGGTCGAGTTTTGGGTTTAAATGGGTGGGTGGGTCGCGATGGGAAAGAGGAGGGGAAGAGGATGGTCGCCGGCCGGGAAGTGGACCAGGCGGCCAGTCGAGGGTAGAGGTCGGGGCTGGGCTGGTGGCGACAGTGGCTGAGTTGGTGGTGTTTTATTTTTTTTAATTTTTTTTTAAAGTTAGTTAATTAAATAAATAACATTAATAATCACCAATTACAATCTGCCATGTGGCATGATTAACGTTAATGACTAACACCGTTAACGGAAATGGCATGTTGTGACATTTACCAAAAACTCAGTGGTATTTGGTGTATTAGAAAGTTTCGTGTGGTATAGGGTGAATTATGCATTAACTCAGTGATATATGGTGAAAAATCCGTTTAATTTATATGCCCTCCTGTTCACATGTGGTATATTTTATTTTTGTGACAGATAGATGAGGTATCAAATTCATTTGACAATAATAATTATCTCAAGTAAACTAATATAGAATTTTAATCCTATCAGTATAAATCTTCGATTAATCCTCGAGATCTTTATTTTATTATATAAAAATAAACTTCCACACTAAAGCATCTCATGCTTCATACCATAATATGTTAAAAATTTCCTCCTTTTTAGTTTTTATACTTTCTCAACAATAATTGAAGAAAAAAGAGGTGATGTATTAAGTAGCTAGAAAAAGTGCATTTACATGATCTTCGTACAAAAAACAAAAGAATGATACGGAGTACATTATATATTAAAATTAATTATTACAAAAATACATTAAAAATAAAAGCAAATCTTATTCTAACTACCTAAATTTTGTTACGCCGTATTTTTATGATGTACTTGTATTTTTTTCTTTTGTAAAAAGTTTCCACTAGCCGTACCAAAACGTGATTTCACTATATTGCGCAACATTCTTACTTACGTTGAAGCTTCCTTGAGGCAAGAAAGGTAATCTCATATAATTATAAGTTTGACCTCTACTACAAGTGCACTACTTTATTACATAAAAGTCCATTAAAATGTTGCTTTCATAAATTTATACTTTATCCAATAAACTTTTTGACTATTTTTTCTTGCCGTTCAATTTCCATTTGATACTTAGTAATCACTCAGTTATTAGTCTAATTAGAACGCCCACTGTTTTTAAAAAGCGGCTTAGGTAATGGATTACGCTTAATTAGTGGCTTATGTAACCTATTACGGAATAACTATTGATTTTCAAGAATTAAAGTATTAAATAAGTCTTGAATCTATTTGCCCCCTATGATAAGGTTTAACCTATATACTTTTTAGTGTATGTTCCATTTATGTTTTCACTTTTTAGAGCACTATATAAAATTAAATATTTTATGACTTCTAACTTAATCCATTCTGTAATCTTAATTTCGTCAAGATTGTAAGATTCTCCTTCGTTTGCTATTACATTGTTAGCGAACCACGTAAATATGTGTCATATATGTATTTAACTGTTATTCTTCCTTAATTTTTCTTGCATCTGCCGCAAAACATAAAACTAAGGAATAAAAACAGTGGATTATAAGCGAGGATAATAGCTTAGTAATGTTTGTTAAGTGTCGGGGAAATAAGGTGCAGAAGTCTCATGACAAACAGCTATTTTTAAAACTGGCTTAATTAGTTGGGTGGTTTTATAAAGAATAGTGTAATTAATTTTAGGAGTCCCATGGTTTAAGTAGCGTGTCTTGCGACCTATATCACGTGAAAGTTATCCCTCTTTAGGTTAGTGGTACCAATGGATTAACGCGTTGCATGTTGTTATACCATGAAAGACATGTACTACTTTAATATTTTCTGTTTTATGCGTTACATATTCAAATTAATTTAATTAATACACTTAAATGTGAGTTGCAGAGAGTGAGTGTGAGGACTGAGGGTGAAGGATCCAAGCTATATATTGGAAGTTGGAACTCGACAAATATAAGTGTTTGTGCAATTTTGTAGCTTGTCATCTACGACATTAATGTCAGGATCGGATTATGTATGGTTGTATTATATGTGCGATTTTTTAAACGGGGTTCTCTATTCATTTTAAATTAATGTATTATGAATTGTAATATTTAGAGTTACGATACATTTATAAGGTGTTTGTCTTTACATTCAAGAAAAAAATATAAAACAATTATAGGTGCGTCTTATGTGGAAAGTTCTTTATTATTTAAAATATTGAGCAAAGATGTGTATTTTTTTTGAGTAAAAGATGAGGAGGAAATATTATTGCAAATCAAAGTCTACCAAAATTTGACATGCAATGATTTAAGATGTGTGTATTTATTTGAAAGTAATACTTGTATTATTAATTCATTGATCAATTGAATTTTATGATGACATTTACAATATAAAATTGATTTTAACAATACATGTAACATGTCTAATTAATTAAAGTTTATCAAATACTCTCTGTATATTCATTTATGCTTTAACATAAATTACGAAAATAATTTATTTTTTTTCGAAATGCATATTAAGACTAATCTAACATGCCTTAGTTAATAATTTTTTCTTTATATATTCATATAGTTAAAGTTTAGTCAATTTAATTATGACACCATATTAAAACAAACATTAAAAAAAAAAAACCATATTAAAAAATGTTTACCTAGTCACCTATTATCATCACAATAACATTAGTTAAAAACGCAACCTCTTATTATCCATTGGGCCATTAAATCAATTTAGAGTGAACAGAGTATCCCATTTAATTTGAAAAAGTAGTATAGTCTCAACTCTCATGCATATGTACCTTAGTCCATGCATGCAAATTAAAATGCTAAAATAAATTAAAATCTATAATTATGTCATTGCTATATAAAAATTCCGGCATACAATATTAGCAAAATAAATCAAACTTTTACTTATTTTTTTTTTTTTTTAAAATTAATCAACATGTAACCGCTAATTAAAGATGTATCAACCATTTAGCTGAATAAGATTATGGATAACTACATGATGGATTTAGGCAATTTAGAGTATGTTCTATTTACCTGATTTTAACTTATCTGAACTTAATTTAACTTATCTGAACTTATTAAAACTTATTTTAGTTGAATTTGAACATGAGCAACCCTTATCAGAACTTATTTTTCCTGGACTGAACTTATCTTAACTTTTCAGAACTTATTAAACTTGAAATAACTGAAAACAAGGTGAAAAGAATACCCTTAGTAATTATATTTTGACGAAGAAGTTAAACATTAAATCTCATTTAGTTTAATCCTAAACACGCACTTAATTACATGCAGAAACGTAACCTTAGATCACATATGCTATGTATGATACATCACAATCAAAAAAAAAAAAAAAAATCCAATACAAAAAAATGTGTGTGAACAATTGAACTCAAAATTTGTAAGAAAGTTCTACAGTTTCAACCTCTTATCTTCTTGGTAACTTCTCTACGAGTATTACATCATCTACGTAGTATATAATTATATCCTTTGTCGTCAACTCACCATACGTTACCATCACAGAATAGTAAATACCCAAAATATCCTTTTTTTTTTTCCTAAATTGCTTTTCCCCAGTTCCAAGTACGAGTATAGATTTTTTTATTGAAAGAATTATAGAAATAATTACTTAATTGAATTACTTAAATAAATAAGTGTATTTATTTATTGACCAGTAACAGCCAAATTAATACCCTAATACGGAGTAAGTAATAAACTAATAACATTATACTCATACTGATGTGTCATTGTGTCAAATATGCGTAAAATGTAATCTAATCCGTATATAACTGTGCATGGTCCAAATTAAAGAAACAATCAAAACTTTGCATTGTATACTTTCTCCATTTTTTTAATTGACCCGTTTTTATCACGTTTGTCAACACATATTTTTAATTATTATTATTAATAAATATAAAAGTTTTAAAAAGTTGATATTTCCGTAATAAAATTTACATTGAGATTTGAGACAATTCAAACACAATGTCATTGCTATAAGTTAAATCACAAAAACAAAGTTTGTGAATAGTGTCAAAAGTTAGAACTTGTCACAAAAAATACGGAATAAATTTTTGAATAGTGTCAAAAGTAAAAACGTATTAGAGTTTGTTTGGTATTGTTTTTTGTTTTCAGTTTTTTTTTTCTTATTTAAAAAAAAAAAAATCAAAAACAAAAAATAAATTTTATTTTTTTTCATTTTTCTATTGTCTGTTTTTAAAATTATCATGATTTAAAATTTAAATTAATTTGACTAATTTTTAATTCATTATATATGTATATATAATGGGGCAAATGAACCCAATTTATTTTTTTTTTTTAATTTAAAAATCCAAAAAAAAAAAAAAAAAACTCTACTACAGTACATACGACTTTTACTGTTGAACAATATAATTAGGATTACATACACCCTGGCGTCAACTTATTTCCAGCTTGTCACTATTCCCTCACCCCACCACACCCCACCCCTCCCCACCCCTCCTTCCTCCTCACGTCTATTCTTTTTCTCTCTCCTCCTATCCTTCCTCTATATATACCCCTCTTTCTCTTCTTTCCCTCATTACCATTTATTTCCCAACTCCTAAAAAAAAGCCATTTACAAACCTTTGAACAATTTATCATTACTATACAATAACAGCAACTAAAAGAGAGAATTGTGATAGCATTTATATTATACAATTATGGGTATATGTTCGTCTTGTGAATCGACCTCAGTCGCAACAGCAAAGCTTATACTAGAAGATGGAAGACTAGAAGAATTCTCCTACCCTGTTAAAGCTTCATACCTTCTTTCCAAGGATCCCAATGTGTTTATTTGCAATTCAGATGAGATGGATTTTGATGGATATGTTTCGGCTGTTCGGGCCGAAGACGAGCTTCAGCCCGGACAGCTTTACTTTGCGCTCCCATTGGCTAAACTTAGCCGCCCGCTTCACGCGGAGGATATGGCGGCGCTTGCTGTTAAAGCGAACGCCGCTCTTTTGAAGAGCCGCGCTGGGGAGAAGTGCGGGTGTCGGAAGAAGGGAGGGTTTTTCGGGGGTGGGGAGAAAGAAGAGAGGTCTTCTGCCAAGGTAGCGGACGTTGGGTCCGCTGCTGGCAGAAGAATGAAAAATATTGGGAATCGAAATCGGAACCGGAGTAATGGGATTAATGGAAGGAGAATGATTTCTGTGGGTAATTTAAGCGCAATTCCTGAATAAAATGGAATGCAAATCAAAATTGGGAATTGGAATTAGATTAGTTTTGTGTATATAGGTTGATTAATTGTATAATTATTAGATGATTAGTGGTTTAATTTACCAATTTTGATTATGGATGGTTTAGATTAGCCCACAATTTTGTTCGTTATTGGATTGATTAATTAAATTAAAGTTACTCAACTATTTGATTATTTGTCGTATATTATGGTTCATTTTCCAGAATTACGGGAATTTTGATTAGTTTACTATACTGTAGTAAATTACTAAAATGGAAACTGCATATTCTAATGAAGCTTTTCTAACTACTTTTTGAAAAGTCCTTGGCCTGGACAGTTGGAATAGTTCCGAGATTATTGACAAAACATAGCATTAACTCGGAGTTTAAGACGTTCGAAATTCAAAGTTTACCTGTAGATGATATTGTATTTAAGTCCATTCAAGTTATGACGGTTTATTTTAGCCAATCACAATTCATTCTGTGACTAACTTTCGTTGTTGTTATTAATGATATTAAATCGAATTTAATATTAGTATATACTATATTTTGCCAAACTGAAAAGGGGACCGAAAAACAAAAAGAAGGGCATTTTAGAATACAACATGCATTATTCTTTCCTAAATTAACGTTACCGGCAATGTATTAAAACAATTTACTCAATTCTTAAGCTAATGATAAACTCATAAACTATAAAATAAGTATAATTTCAATCATTATCAAGAACGATTCATATATAATAATACACTTGGTTTATTATAATATTAACTTAATTCGGAGTATATACTCGTATACTAAAAAGATGATAATGCATGTTATCGATAGTTACAACTTGTAATTAATGATTAATGAAATCATACATTAGATACACATAATGGCCGGACCACAGATTGTACCCCGGTCCCCATCTATGCATGTAATTAGGTGATATATCCAACATGGTGGACACATTATTTGACAAATGCTATAGATTAATAATTATCATACCTAATAACTTTAATTTCACTTAATTAGCACACCTAATAATATCTGGTAAGTAGTTATGGTTGAATGTTCACATGCAATTCGTTATTGTTAGAAATATTCCCGCCAATTACTCAATATAAAAGGAAGAAGATGTAATAAGTTGAGATGACACATACATGTGATTAAGTACTACTGTACTTTATAAAGATTTCTCCCTCCGTCTTTAAAAAATTGTCCCAAATTTTGTTATTCACATTTTCAAGAAGCACGTGTATAAGTTTATAGCTTTATGCACATGAATGAACATAATTTTGATATGAAAAGAGAGCAAGTGTGTTTGCAAGTGAAAAATTTACTAATTAAAAATAAAAAGCAAAGTATTTTATTGAGTAGTATGAAAGACTAAAGAAAATAATTTGTCATGTTTTTATATTTTGGTGGAGCTATTGGATAACTCTTATTTGGTGAGGCGGTTATAAGATGCAATTCAAATTGAACTCTTATATTTGAGCTGGAAGTTCAATTTGAATTTGCAAATCCTTTGTTCGACAAATGTAGTTGCATTGTTAACTTCATTTTTAATAGTAGTTGTTAACGGTTTTATATTAGATTTTAGCATGCAATCTAGTTTGTAATACATGTAGGTTTTGTTCCTTATGTTAGATTTATCTATTAAATACAGAAAGTAAGTATAGCCTATGTTATAATTGATTTAATTAAGGGTTAATGAAGACTCTAGTATAGTCAAGAATCCACCACTACAATAAGTTTACACAGTCTACTTCACAACTCCAAGTATACATCTCAAAATCATACGCCAATAAGATAAGCAACCCCTTAAGAAAAAAACTACTAAAAATTAACTTGTGGCTAGTCATTACGAATCAAAATAATTTCACAAATAAATAATCTAAGTAACCTCTTAGGTTGACTGTCTTGACCATCCTCTACAACATTATACGTACATTTTTCTTTTGCAATGTATGATAGACAAAAGCTATGAAATTGTTTGCGTTCTCTTAAACCATGAAAAAAATGGAAAGACAATTAGACAAATGTGGGTCGAAAGCATGTCTAAATCTTCGAATTCTTTGGCTAGATGACCAATATATATTTACAAATTGCTTGGTTATATAGAGCATTGATAATCAATATGGGTGTTTTTAGTAGGTGGCTTGTCTCCAATTGTCATTTATCAGCGTCTCATCACTGCTTGGGTACTACTGTATTTGTGTGTCTCTCATAGCTAGCAAATAGTGTTTGCACATTAGTATTAGCTCTAATTATGTATTCATTGAACTATGCTCGTGTCCAGTTGTCCATTACTTATGATAGTAACCGTATAATAAACAGAAATAAACAAAACGTGACAATACACTAGTATAGTACAGTAGTATAATCTTTAACTATTGAATTAGAGGCTGGCATTTTTTGGTCTATTTCCCAATAACTAGGCCGCCCATTTTACATAATATGGAGTTAACATTAGCAAGCTATTAACTAGTTTTATTAAACATCTTTATTTATGAGTTACCAATAACTACACGACTAACTCAAACAACCAATACAAATATGTTTACGAAATTCTTATACAAGAATTAGAGAATGAGGTCGAAACTTAAAAGGCGAGTGAGAGCTGTGATGCACAATGTAGAGGAAAAACATCAGAAAAGCAAAATGTCAAATCTACACAATATTGCGTGGATTGAGAACAACATCCCATCAAACATCAACTATAGTTCTAAAATTGATCCATCTCTTGTCCATAATATTCTACGAGTTACCACATTGCTCTCAAAGACTGGACCCAGTCTTAAGTTTGTTGTGTTAAATTCAGTCAATTAATCAATGTGCCCTTCAATTCCTAATAAAAACAAAATCCAAATTATGCGTATGATACAAGTACTGTACATAATTTCTTTGAATCTTCATTCTATAAGCTTAATTAACAGCCTCAAAATTACGGTTTCTTTGAATATTCCTCGAAAGCCTATGATTATGTGTGGAGGAAAATTAGATCCTTCAAGTTGTAATAGTTCTCTTGGATGTCATTACATGGAATATGAACTAATATAGTCAAGATTTGTTGTTTTTTGCTGAATAGCTAAGAGGTTTTTGGCTATTGTTTTGGAATTTTCCCTTCTCACTCGTTAGGAATGTGATAGAATTCCTCTTAACAAGAATAACCACTGTTATTGGTTATATACGAAAGGTTCAAAATTCGTCTTTTTAAATCATACCTTTTTTTTTTGTTTAAACTGGTACGGAGTATTAATCTAGTATCACCAAACAACACATGTAAGCGTCCTATACTAATAGAAGAAGATAATATAATTATGGAGTATTTCATAAAGTAATAAAGGCATGTTACTTCTTTAGTTCTATAGCTATATTACCTTCGTTTTCAAATGATGTACATGTACCTATTCATTATAATTAGGGTGTGATGGATATATCCGAGAAATGCCAATAACTTGAAGAAATGGACCAATAAACTATATTAGGTATTAACTTTTCCAACAAAGAATTTGTTGGGCCGTGGTTATATTTCATTATTGATCATTCCAGCTGTAGCTCATCCTTTTTAACACAAAAGATAACATATAAACTTCGTACGAAGTATTAAAACCCTAGAGCAGTTAAAGATACAACATATAATTTTCTGTAACGTAAAGGCTACTCATGAGAGTGATGACTGATGTGGAACTGTGGCTCATCCTAGACCATAATAACCCATTAACATATATAATTCCTATATAAAATCAATGATATGGAAAAACAACTCTGGTCACATACTCACATTTGTGATTATTTGATTATTTTTCTTGACTCTTGTATGATATATAGTATCCATGATCTTGTAATGCATACCCCTACTTTCATATATCCCGGGCCGACTCAAATATTATGGGGTCTGTATTTAATACAATTGGTCATTTGATTGAGTCTTAGGTGATCCGTGTAGGAAAATGAATGAGTTATTATGAGCTGGATTTTCTTGAGAATAATCGAATTTATATAAATGATGTTTTCCGTCCAAACAAAATATACAAAAAAACACTATTATTCAAATGTTGGTTCTCTTACAATGTTGTCACTTTGGCGGTGATTGATTAGAAATAATCTCAACCCTCAACCCCCCTTACCAACCCACAACTCAAGGCCACAAAGCGAGGCCAATGCATTAAGCAAGCTCCCACATCTAGACGCGCAGGGCCATGGAGTGAGCCCCTAGCAAGATATATGAATTTATTGCTAAACACCTAGAGAAAGTAGCACACTACACACCATACAAGATTCAAAATCATTGAATTGGACACTACACAGTACACACCATATATGAATTTATTGATAATGATGTGTCCTTCAACCTGGATAATAAACAACATGATTGTGGGTCTTGCGAATTAATTAAAATCAAAGGAGTTTGTGGTTCTTAAAAGTTGTAATTAAGAAGCCAGCTAATTTTGTAGGCACCTTGATTCCCACCATCAGACTAGTATGATATAATAGACCTTTGTCACCAAATGAGGAAACTAGATTAAATTGTTGGTGGTTTAGACTAGATGGAAGAGTAAAAATTTCTATCCATTAGTTTTTCCCAATAAATGAAACATTAAATTTAATAGGATGTGGAAGATACTGTTTGGCTGAATATGGAAAAGAAAATTTTCATAGGAAGTCCCATTTGTTAGTCCTTGCTCTCCTAGATTGAATGGAGCTAAGTTAAACTAAACTGCACTGAAATGATCAGAACTAAACTGAACTGATGAAGTGATTAGAACTATATTGAACGTCTAAATTGAACTAAATGGAGTTGAGCTGAATTGCGTTGAACTAAAATGAAATTAAAAATGATCTTCATTAGTAGTGGTGGTATAAGTAGTAGCAATCTTTCACATGCATCTAGCTAAGGACCATAATGAAATGAGCAAAATTTACCTTAAGCTCCATAGGCATAAAAATTGAGTGTGTGTTTGAAACCGCCATTAAGTTACAATATTAAATTATAAATGTTTTTCTAAGAAAAAAAAAAAAGATGACTATGAATTTTCCTAGCATCAATTTATAAAACCCCTAGTTGGTTAATTCGAGTAAAGTTGATGAGTACACTAATACTCGTATTAATCAATATCTCTAATTCAACTCTTGACTAAAAGAGCTCAATTCCAAATTTTAATATCTTGGGCTAGCTAGATCAATGAAGCACAATTGTACTTTATTCTAATTTATTATGAATCAAATAATTTCAAACTTCAAACAAAGAAAAATAAAAACCCAAAAACATTGACTGGGCTTAGCATTAGTGTATAGAGTCTAAATAAATCCACTTGTATGACGAACTGGTCCATGCAAACCTATGTTAAAATCATGTTTTAAAATCTAGCTCTTATTGGACTCAACAAAAACGAGTCGGGTCAACCCGAGAATCCCGAATACCCACCCGAAAACAAATTCCTATAAATATGCCGAGACAGGCTAATTAAGAATCTGACAATGTCTACCCAAATCGTGCAACATTAATCTAAGAAAGAAGACGTACCAATATAATTATATGATTATGCAGCTTAATGTTATTGAGTAAATTCCAATCTTACAGGCAACCACTCCACTTTCATTAATTTAATCTGTTACCATATATCATCAATCGTCCTTAATTACCGGCCCTAGATTCAACTCTCCAGATCATTCTGTTATACCTTAATATATATTACTACTGCTACATACTATTACATGAAAATATTTCTTACAAATTTCATATATTATTTTCTCTCAAAACTTAAAATGGGTGGATGTGCTTCGTCTCAAAGGGACTACGGAAGGAAGTCTGGTAAGAGACCGGCTGCAAAGGTGATCAAAGTAATTCATTTAGATGGTCGAGTGAAGGAGTTCGAGCCGCCTATATGTGCTGAACAGATACTGTCTTGTAACCCTGGTTGCTTCTTATGCAGCTCCGATACGATGTCTATTGATTCGTACCCTACGAATGTGCCTGAACCTGAAGAGCTTCGGCCTGGTTTGTATTTTCTGTTGTCTAAGGCTCAAGAAAATAAGCCGTTTTCGCTTGAGGATTTGTGTGAGCTTGCTGTTAAGGCTAGTTCTAATCTTTCTATTCATGATCTTCAGCTGTCTTTTAGGCATTATGCTGTTGTTTGATTACTTTTTTTTTTGTTCTTTTATTTTTGTAGTAGTTCTAGTTGATTGGACTATTTAATTCAGATTAATTAGGATGATGTATATTGTATAGTTACGTTATTTTACATATTTCTTCGTATATTTTCTATTGTTGGGTCGTTCATCATAAACAATCTTACTACTCGCCTACTCGTAATTATTAGTCCTTGATTTGCCACTACTACACAAAATATGACTATGTTGAGTTAAATCCAATATTGGCTAGCTGTAAACCTCTTTAAATCTGTGCAAATCGGATCAGTTAAGAAGATTTATTTCTTATTAATTTCAAGAACACTCATTTTTGCTTTGTAACAAATATGGACTAACAACTAATTATTACAATATCCGAGTGTATAAGATGCACATTATAATGGAGTACTTAAATTTGATATAGAATCTAATCAACATTTTGATCACCCTTATTTAGTAATTCTCTTTAAATATAACATAAATACGAGTACTTAATTTGTTAGTTACAGTAGTTTAAACAACATTTTTTATTGGTTGTGTTAATAGAACAAGTTATATTGATAGACCCATTTTCATTTTTAGTTCTGCTAGATCATGCACATCGAGATTTGATTATCTTTCATTTAGGTTATATGACTGAGTAAATGGTATATACCTAGTACTCATACGTATATAACTTTATGGAAAGTTCATGTTTGTGATGAGGTAGTTGTAAAATAAAGGCTATTTTCATCGATTGACAATGTTTAAACACCTACACTAAAAGGCTTCTAATAAAGAAATACTGTGATTATCTTATTATTACAGAACTATAGCTATTATTTAAAAACGGAGGGAGTAGTACTATAGCTATTATTATACAATACACTTTCAATTGAAATGAGCAAAAGATATGTTTTAGTCACAATTTTAATATACATTCCCTACAAAAGTTAATATAAACTCTAAACAATAATAGTTCCGTACTAGTTTTGTACTCTAGTAATGTAGAATTTATAATGTAATACAATACTCATCTACTCAACGTATAGTAAATTAGGGTATCTGTATAATTAATTGATTGCTTAATAATAAATCAAGGACCATATTATATGATTAATATCTTAAATGGTTCAAATTAAAAAAACAAGTAGCAAAATGGGATTTGCAGAATCAAAGTCGTCGTTAATTAAAAAATTAAAATAAAAGAAGCAAAATCTGAAATCCCCAACCTAAATCAGCTGGCATGTTTATCTGTCACGCCTAGCAGCACACGCTCGGGAATCAGCTCACGTTCACATATACGAAGTATACTGTATTTACATTTGACATTGTTTGTGATTAGTCAACGACATCTTACATTTGATTGGGAAATTCCCTTAAGAAATGAAATTTGTTTCTCATGAGGCCATTTTCGTGAATAAATCAACAACTTTTTTATTATTATGAGCTCCACAATTGAATAAAGTTGAATAAAATTATTGGTTTATTTACGAAAATGTCATGTGAGAAACAAATTTTGTTTCTCACTATGAGAAATTGGGGCATCCTCCATTTGATTAAATGAAAGCATGGCAGCAGCTTGCGTTTCACCCCTACTCTTTGGAGGTACCGGAGGGGAAGGCGGTGGTATTGACACCGCAGTTGCCGTGTCCTTTTTAAGCAAATTGACATGCTTTTCTTATAAAATCGTTCTTATTTTGTTGATAATCTTGATTTATTTATTTATTTTTTTTTCATGAAAAAAATGATCCATCAATGTTACGAATTACTTTGTATATTATTTCTCACATGTTTGAGTCTCATTTTTTTTTTGTGTATTTCTATGAAAATAATTTTAAAAAACCACCACTTCTTTACTAACTATAATAATAAGTTTACAGTACTATCAACTCTACTACAGTTAATTAATATGCCTAAAACTCTATGCTGATCATATCGTGCACCTATGAAGGGAGAGTATTGGTTATGTGCAAATAAGAGCAACTCACCAGAATATTGGGCCTGATTTTGGGCTCAAGTACCTTGGTATTTAACTGAGAGTAATTGTCCTGACGGGCTTATAGATTTGTCTGTTTGGGCCTATAGAGGTAGGCTTTGGGTTTATAAATAAAAAAGCACATTTTTTTTTTTTTTTAATTTATGAGCTATTTTGGCCTCTTTCGGCTAGGCTAAAAAGTTCTTCTATTGAGTATTGAGTGATAAAATTTCATATATGGTTCATGAGTATTGCAAACTACTCTGAGGTTTGCAATATTCTTAATGAGGTTTGTGTATATTTTTTCTCCCTCTTAGCACAAGCACTACTCTGAGTTTCTCTCCTCCGCGTAGGAATGTAAGCGCTCATAGTACCAACAGTAACTTGTTTATCATTCAAGGTCGCGCAATCTATTGATGATCAGCTCTAACTCTAATGTCCCTTATCAATTATTATGATACTACATTCAACAGCACATGAAACAAAGACTTCTCTTCTTCACTGCAATAAATCTTAATATTGTATGTTAGAAATTAGACAATCATCACTGAAAATGAAACTCCTTGGAAATTAAGCATTGACATTTTAATCAGCTACACTAACGTTACTTGCACGTGATCAAGACACAAATCTTTGAACCCCCCACGTGATAACTCCTATATATACCATCAACTTTTTCAGCACCATTATCACATCTATAATTCACCTTTACGAAATTACAAATCTACCCCTTAACCAAAACAAACCAAGGACAAAATCGTAAATACAACCAGACAAAAACAATCTTATTAATATACCACTATCATTTTATCATCACTTTCATCCAATAAAACAAAATACAATGGTCCATCTTGTAACCACTCTACTGATTCTCTTGTTCATCTCATCGGCCTACGCCCAAGCACCGCCACCACAACCACCATTGGCAGGCCCAGCCCAAGAATACTTAGATGCACACAACCAAGCCAGGGCCCAAGTTGGGGTGGGCCCACTCAAGTGGAGCCCAAATCTAGAAAACGCGACGGCCCGTTTAGCGATGTACCAGAGGATCAAGTTCAACTGCCAATTTGCGGACCTTAACAAGAGCAAGATCAAGTACGGGGCGAATCAGCTGTGGGCCCAAGGTTCTTCGGTGGGCCCCAAAACAGCGGTGGACGCGTGGGTGGCGGAGAAGAAATACTATAACCACGAGAAGAACTCGTGCGAAGAAAACCGACAGTGTGGGGTGTACACGCAAGTGGTGTGGCGGAAGTCTGTGGAGTTGGGGTGCTCACAGACTAGTTGTGTTAAAAATGGGACGAGTTTGATTGTTTGCTTTTATAATCCGCCTGGAAATGTGATCGGTGAAAGCCCGTACTAAGCTTAGCTTATACTAATGTATGTAATTGATGTTTTGGTAATAATAATGTATTCATATTCCATTTCCACTTTCTAGTGAGTTCAGATTAATTGAGGGGTTTTTATTATTTATTTATTTTTTTAAAAAAAATTATCCTCTTGGACTGTGCGTTAGATCTAACTATCTGTACATCTCTCATGGAAAATGACTAAGAATTGTATCATTACGAGATGAATAATGCAGAGTCCCCTATTGATAGATTAGTCTACCATTTCATTTTATTTTTTTTTTATTTAATGCAACATCTATATACAATAAAATCTTTGTTGTTGCTGAGCTTGTTTCAATTAAATTAAAATTTTGAAAAATCGAAATAAATAATCCCACACATATTCTCTACATATCTTATCGCAGTTTTTGCAAAATCTTAGAGTAGAACATTGGGATGCAGCTCTGGAGGTTGTGAGATATTTGAAGAAAAATCTGGTATTTTGTTGCGTTCTAACGGTGCTTTATAGTTGGAAGGTTAGTGTGATTTAGATTGGGCGAGTTGTCCTCTCTCTAGACGCTCGCTGAGTGGTTGGTTAGTGCTTTTTGGTTTATCTCCAGTTTCGTAGAAAATCAAGAAACAACATAGGATTTCACGTTCCTCAGCAAAAGCTGAATATCATATTGATCGATGGCAGTGATGACTTGTGAATTAAAATGGTTGAAGCAACTTCTTAGAGACTTTAGTGTACACCATGTGAATGGGATGCGCCTTTACTGTGATAGTCAATCTGCTTTATATATTGCTCAAAATCATGTGTTTCATGAACAAACAAAGCATATATATTGAAGCATATTGTCATTTTGTAAGAGATGTCGCCATTACCAACAGTTTTATTAAACCTTCTTAAGTATCTGTTTGGGAAAGCTAAATTTGAGTTCCTTCTCCGGAAGTTGGGCATTCAAGATCTGTATGCTCCAACTTGAGGGGGTATTGGGCTATATATTTTAGGAGATATGATAATATTGTATATTATGATATACGAAGTATTATTTAGGGGGTATTGGGCTATATATTCTCAGACTCAATTATTTATACTATATAGCAAACCTAATATTGATGCTACCTTCTCTGCGTTATACCCTGGCCTTACTTACCCTACTACATAATTAGGAGGATTCATTAGGTTTTTATAATTTTTGTTAGGTGTGGGACCGCCTATACTATCAACTTTCCGCGGTCGATTCGTGGTTAGGGGGTTTCGTGGGTGAGGTGATCGATCCGTAAACGGGGGTGTCCGTTTGCAGGGGAGGAGGTTGGGTGGAGAAGGGGTGGTTGGGAGGCCGCTTAGTCAGAATTAATTAACATATAGAGATGGGAAAAGGAAAGGAAAGAGAAAAAATGAAAAAAAATGAAAAAAAAAATACTTGGACGAAACACAGGGTGACACGTGGCATGTGAATCTATAATACTGGTTACCAACCGATCAGGGTCAGTAAATCAAGGTGAATGCCTGTCAAAGGTGGGATTATTAACAATGAATGAACCAGTAAAAGGTGAGATTCCAAATTCGAATCAATTTTTCAAAAAATAAAAAAATTACAAAATTAAAAAACTATCCTACTTTGAATCTATTGTTATAAAACTAAATTATGGCCACAAGTACTTATTGAGATAATACAATCATATTTTTACATGTCATAATTAAACATTCTTAACCTTTCATGTTATCTTGTAAGAGTGGAAGACTAGTCTACACTGGATAGGATCACATGATTAAGAAAAGACATAGCCATGCATTATTTTTTTTGAATAGACATAGCCATGCATTATTTTGTATATATATTTCACAATTTTCATGCAAGTTGTACAATATTCACTAATAGATAGGAACTATATTTACACGCAAGTTGTACACCTTACAAATATTCACTAGATTTATATCTCATGGTGGTTCCAGTTAGGGATCCGACCGGAAAAAAATTTAAGTGAAAAAATGTCACTAATAGTTAATACACACATGAGATATAAATGTTAGTACAATAATTAATTTCTGTCAGAACTTAATAATTCCTAGATGATGATGATGAAGATGATGACGATGACTTTGTTATCTCAAGCGATGAAGATGATGAATCTAGCATCGACTCTAGTGACAGTGACGAGGATGATGACATCATGTATTATTAGATGATAGTAGTGATGATTCCAGCAGTGATAATAGTGATGACATTAATGAATAGGGAAATATGTTAATCTCCGTCGTTAAATTTGCTTATTATTGTAAAATCAAAATATGACTTGGTCTTATAATAAATCATTACTTTTTGTATAAAATTTTATTACATTGCACTATACTTGTAATTTATAATATCATGTCATGTTACTAACAACTATTTCAGGTGGTCATGGTGGGGGTAAAGATGGGTAATCGTCGAAGAAATCAAAGGGGAAAGGTAAAGCTCCAATGGTGATCGACTACTCCGACGAAGAAATGGAGGAAGCGGAGGCACATGGTTTGGGTGCCACTCAGGAGCCCACCTTCAGCCAACCACGAGATAAGACACAGCAGCATTCAGAGTTGTCGGTATTAGACCCTACTACGCTCTGGTACGTACGTGCATTTAATGAATTGGACTTATATTCTTATTCTCAAAAAATTAACCTATTTATTACTTCTAACAAGTTTTATATTACTTTTTGTTGATTATCATCTAACATTGTTGTTTCTCGTTTAATGTAGGTTTGATGATAACAAGGTGAGGAGTGTGGTCTCCGGTACGCTAATTGGATACTATCGAGACCCTAGGAGGAATTATGGAGAGGTTGATGAAGGAAAGAAACAACACTGGTGGAACTTGTTCAACGTATGCTATTTTTAACTTAGTCAATACATGTTTTATTAAGTGTATTGATTTCATAGAGTTTATAACTTTTAAAGTTTATCATTTGCAGAAACAATTCACATGGGCACCTCAATTGAACGAGCATGTGAAGCAAACTTTTGAAAGGAAGTTTGCAACTCGCCTACGTGACATGTTCTACAAAGTCACACATAAGATGAATGACGCCAAGCCATGCTTGCTCAATGAGGAAGTCCACAAGAAGATGATGGATATTGTTGCCACAAATCCGACGTATAAGAAGCGGTCGGCCCAAAATAGGAAGAAAAGAAAGGGCGGTTTCATGGAAAATGTGGTTGAACCAACCCACTATCAGGGTTCTATGTTAGCTATACAACATGCAAAAAGGATGGTAAGTTTGTTTAATAGGCTAGTAATTAAAATAGAAGGCATTTGTGTATTACTATGTATTGGTGGTGTGACATTTATAACGACGATTTTCTGCATGTATAATCAAAGGCGATGAAGAATCAAGACCAGTTACCAACAGCTCCTGAGCTTTTTCTGAAGACGCACTACAAGGATGTGCCTGGGAAAGGCACACTGCCAGCCAACACCAAAGCAAAGCAAATTGCGATAAGAACTTCAACATAACTTACAATCTAAACTTATTTGATTGATTTCATGAAAATGGGCAAAGTATAAGTCATTAAGGCCACATTTGGATGAATTTGGATGAAAATAGTTCCTAAAACTTAGTTAGTTGATTTTTTTTGTGATTTCAAGCCCTATACACCTTTTTTTTTAGGGAAAGCAGTCGCATAAATAATATTAAGAATCCATTTCCGCAAGTCGTAAGAGACTTTCCGGGAATGGGGCAAAACATACAAGCTCATTACCGGTGTTCACCTCATTTCTAGAAATTAAGTGAGCCACCGTATTTCCTCCACGTTTAACATGACTACAAAAAAACGAAGAGAAAGACGAACATAAACTAATAATGCTACTAACAAACAAGAAAACATAGTTAAAGCCAACTCTCTTAGCCCGTACTTTTTGAACCACACCAAGGGCGTCGCTCTCTAACCACACATTGTCCACATCAAAACGCTTGGCCAGTTCCAAACCATAGTACATGGCAGCAGCCTCCGAAACACTAAGATCCCAATTTCCTTTCAATCTTTTCATACTTGTAAATAGGATAGCACCATCATTGTTTCTAGCTACTACTCCCAGCCCCACCGTACCATTAGGCAAAATTGCAGCATCAGTGTTCACCTTTATAAGAAAGAAAGAATTCATTTGGTAAGAAATGAAGAAAATGGGCAAAGTAGAAGTCATTTCGGTCTTACTTGGATGAATTTGGATGAAAATGGTTCCTAAAACTTAGTTAATTGGTATTTTTTTGGTGATTTCAAGCCCTATACACCTAAAACTACCTATTATTGACATGTTATGAGAAAGAAAGAGTTCATTTGGTAAGAAATGAAGAAAATGGGCAAAGTAGAAGTCATTTCGGCCTTACTTAGATGAAAATGGTTCCTAAAACTTATTTAATTGATTTTTTTTTTTTGTGATTTCAAGCCCTATACGCCTTAAACTACCTATTATTGACATGTTATGAGAAAGAAAGAGTTCATTTGGTAAGAAATGAAGAAAATGGGCAAAGTAGAAATCATTCACTAGGCGAAAATACGAATTCCCCACCGGTTCAAACCCCCTATTTCACACCGGTTTTGAACCGGGTTGGATTTGGGGGGTGCTAAAACCCCATAGATTTTGCACCGGTTCAAAACCGGTGGGGAAAGGACTTTTCGCACCGGTTCTGGGTGAGAACCGGTGCGAAAAACCACACTTTTTGCACCGGTTCTTGCTTTGAACCGGTGCCAAAAGTCCCAAAAAATTATAAAAAAAACTTTTAGCACCGGTTCTGTTCCAAAACTGGTGCCAAAAATGCCCCAAAAAAATAATTTTTTCTTTTTTTTTTTTTTTTTTTTTTTTTTTTTGCATTTTTTTCACTTAAATTGATATATAAAGTTACATATTTTCATTATAAAAGGCTATAATATTACAATTTTCATCAAAAAAATAAATAATATACAATGTTACATAAGCACAAACAACATGGACATGCAAAAGGCTCTCCGGCAGACTAAGACTAATTAAGCTGGCATTAGAAGCATTCCGATCATAGCGTTAGTCGAGTGCAGCGACCTTTACTCCTGAAAAGCAAAATCACCATTACAACTTTCATAAAAGTTTAAGCTGACCAAGAAGACAGATATATTGCTGAAAAACTCACATCTACATCAGACATGAAAAAAAACTTTCCAAAGCTACAATATCCGATGTACACAGTTAAGATGTCACTGAACTTCTGCCTCATAATATGAATTAAATTCAGAACTTGAGATATCGATGTACAGTTGCTCACAAAAAGGAGAATGAATCCCAGAAGTCAGAACAAACCAATGAATCCCAAAAGTCAGAACAAACCAGAAGTCAGAACAGCCTGAAAACGAGTAATTAACTAAGTAAACATCAAAGAGGGATGAAAGTTGGAGCAAGATAATGCAAAGGGAGAAAATAAATTTCAAGATCAGATGGCTATTGAAAACTATATATTAGAAAGAACAAAATTTACACACCTGATTCGACATCTATAATCAGCATCCAAATTCCTGTACTCATTTTGACTTTCTTCCAAACCAAAAACCTAAGCTGAAAATTATATCTTAGAAAGAACAAAATTCAGAATAATATGCTTACTTGCACTCTGTTATAAGCAGGTCAATAGCTTTGTTCCTGTGTTTCTTGTTTCTGAGCAGGTCCTTGGGCACTGCTTCAAGGACTACTCTTGGTAAAATCTACACATCAAAAATCAAAGTTCATTTAAGAAAACAGATCATCCTATTAACTTAGACATTCCACAAAGAATAAATAAGTGGAAAGAGAATCTACTCACAAAGAATAAATAGTATAAATGTATTTTTCAAATTCATTATAGATGTTATATGCACTTAATTATAAATCCTGATACTAAAAAGTATGCTGAGCGGCAAAGATGAAGTGACATGCACTTAATTAGAAATTTGAATTTCATGACTCTGCAATAGGAAATAGGTACAATAAGCTGGCCTGTTACCTGAGCATTTCCTCTCAGTCTCAGCTCAGACATTCATCCTACATCAGCATTGTGTCTTCCCTCGAGAACTAATTTTGTCCCTTGACTGACCACATGTAAAATACAGTTAAAAAAGGGGGGGGGGGGGGAAGGTTTAAATACATGTAGAACCAATGTCAACAGGAAGACGATAAAAAAATCCTCTCTTCCCCTTTCTCTTCATCTCTCACACACACTGTTGAATATGTTCAAACACCCCATATATGTAATAATATGAAGATTTACAATAAATGAGAAGCCGCTAAGAGATACGCACAAAAAAAAAAAAAAAAAGAATCGAGTTGTGAGTTCTAGAAAATGGAAGGGAAATAAACTAGCAGCACAAACAACAGCAGCAGGTAGCTACAACTACATTAACTAGCAGCACATACAACAGCAGCCGCGCAGAAGTAGCAGGAACTAAATAGTTATATATCATGTCCATAAAACAATGGCTCCTTAAGAAACACATTTCAAGTCAAGAACACCTGATTTGGCTATATTCCACCCTACTATCGTTCTCCCTTTTCAAGGGGTAAGGCAGGGGAAAAAAAACAAGATATCAAATGCAGGCAAAGTAAGAGAATCACAGCCAAGACCACATTATAAGATACTTTTGAGATTATTTGGCAGAGCAAGCAACACCATTCTGAAGTTGATATCAAAGTAATGATTAGGAAGATACATCACACTTGCCTAAACAACATGCTCATTCACCAAGTCGACTTCATATGGCAAAATCATATGGAAGATACCTTAATTTGCCGAAGATGGTTTACAGCAACCTAACAATGAAGAAAGGAAAAAAAAGTCATTCAAAATCAAAAACTAGTAAACACTCAAGAAATCCTAAGCATAAATCAAGACTACCTCACTTTGCCTTCACGAACCTTGCAAAGATTGTTTTGCTGCAGGAATATGCAATATGAGAGCCAGGGCTTAAAGGAGATAAATTAATTACAACAATTGCATAGTTCAAGCACATTACATTTTTTATTTTATTTGCTTGATTTGACACCCGACGCTCAATCTCTCGTACAAGTCTCTCATACATTTTTTAATTGTATATTTTACTTGGTTAACCCTTATTAACGCAGTGTGCATTACAGTCATGCTCATTGTTTATCAATATGCAGCGTACATTTAGAAACCTCAGCATATATGATAAGATTAAAATGCAACATATATTATAAGATTTAAATGCAGCATACATTCAACAATCAAGTGAAAAATTCCTAGCATATCAATTGCATATAATTCATACCACAATTGAGCTAAATTTGTAGTCTTCAAGCTAAACTTGTGCTTCAATTCACATATGAATCTATAAAAAATTAAAAAGAAAAAACAAAAGTTATTAAGTAATTAATACCTACATACATTGCTAAAGAATAACACATCATTAATTAAACTAACAATTGCTAATCACTAATTTTTTAAAAAAATTTAGTAAATAATGTAATTTCACTAATTTATTAGTGTAAATCTACTGTTATGTGTGTCTCCTTATACATCCCAACTTGTACTCTACTCTATGTTTCCCATCCAAGATAAGTAAAAATTAGATATAAGAGCTAACCAAGTTCAAATATTGATTTTCTGTAAGAGTTAATAAGTGTGGAAGAAGGAATAATAAGTTTTAATTAGTTCAAATAAGGGTTAATAACTTAGATAAGTTCATAAGCGTGGGTAAGTTTAAAAACACCTAACAACTACTTCATGCTCTCTGGCCTTTCAGCTCACCTGTTTTGCTACAAAATCCATGCTTTCATGCTCTGATAAGTTACTACCAGCTTTCCTCACTACACATGCCATTGGAAACTGACCAACATTCTTATCTGGGAACCTGTTGTGTACAAAAGAGCATTACTATATCAGGCATTTTAGAATGATAAACATACAGAGAAAGAAATGAAATCACAAAGAGTTTGAGTAACATTGGTGGGATCTCACCCCATTGAAATGTCATTTTTTATAAAAGTAATAATTTTTGGGGTTAAATTGTTGTGTTATTTTGTTCCCTTATCCCATATAAGCTTATTTTTAGTGTCATATTAGTGATTAGTGAATTATTTCTTATGGCATTATTGTAGGGGTGAAAGTTCTGAGAAACACTTATTGCGGGTGGTTAAGTGAATTAGAAGTTGTTATTGAAGCTGAATACTGATAAGTAGTATGGAGAAGAGTAAAGTTGATGGTAATGTCTCTTTTAGTGGTCACATTAGTCATGGACTCTCTTTCTCGATTAGTGAGAACAAAACAAATGTACATAATCCTAAAGATGCCGAGGTTTCTACTGTTTCGTCTGAAAGGTTTCACTTTGCTAAGCACTGTTAGGAGCGATCTGAGCTCATAAACTGGACAAACCTCTAATGGAAAGAGGAAAGAACTAGATTATTCATCTGTGATGGCAGAAGTCTGTCATGAAAGTCATACAAAAAGGGGGCCTGACCATAATAAGCTACTCAAAACTGATTCAAAATCATCTAAAGAAAGTGGTGAAGTGGTTCAGCTAAGTTTAGTTGATTTCACTGATCCGAAACCATGTCAGTCCTCCAATGAAGATTTGGTTGAGAGGAAACCATTTCTAACTCAGTCACATGAATCAAAACTGTAGATAATCAACAAATTACTGCAACATCAACAATATATGTATCCTTCACTATTGCAACATTGCATATAGGAGAAAAAAATGAAGTCAAAATTGAAAATAGAAATAAAATGCAAACAAGAATTGAATTATAACTCGGGCATGAACTATAACTCGGGCATTTGATGATTTCCATTTCCATAAATGAATGTTACTAACATACAACAGCTGCATTATAGAAAGGGGGAAAATGAACGATAACTGAGCTATAGAATATCTTCTACTTCTACTGCCTAGTCCCTACCTAGCTACAAATTTCCTAACATTTTCGAACAAGATTTATTATAGCCTATCTGAAGTGGTAAAATTGAAATTATAAGCAGCTAGATGACAGAGGAATTTTAAAAAGACAATTACAGATGCACAGGGAAGCCTTAATAGCCGTTACAATCATTTACCTTGGTGACCTGAAAGAGAGACACTTTCCGCAAGATACAAGCTTTAGCAATGAATGGGGTCTTCGTGCCCGAATCTTTAAGCTTGATAACTGCAGACATTAATGAAATGGTAATCTATTAGTATAGTCAGAAACAATTCTAAAAACATCCTTGTTTAGGAAACTGAACAAGGAGTGTAACACACCAATGAATGGTAGGTAAGTAGATTCAGAGCAATTTAATTTGTTTTTAATACACTTCAAATGAACTACTTTTTGAAAAAGGATAATATGGGAAGATGAATAGCGTAAAAGCTATCTCTTTTAAACTAAATTTAATAAGTGGGCAATTCAAAATGAGCATCTCTTCAAAAAAATGCAGACAATTATTAATACATAGGAATTATAAGCAGACCCTCCATCATGCTCAATTTCAAGCCCGAAATAATATCTTCGTATGATTATATCATCTGCACAATTTCAATGCTTCATAGCAATAACAACAACACTTACATTAGTCTGTCCTCCATCTATAAACAGAATACTACTACTAAACCACATATGTAGTCCAAAATTCTTGTTAATCATATAAAAGAGGTCAAATGTAGTTAATTAGCAATTTCCCAACAACCACTGCAGCAAAGTCAGTTATTTCCATGACACATACAAAACAAAAGTCAGTAGAAGAGGGCATGAATTCTATCTGAAATCCTCCTATAACATTCAATGGCAGTTCAGGAGAGATTTATGATTCATCTATTGTCAGAGCAAAATTTACCAACTGTTATCTAACATCATTTACTAGCTAATAAGTTGAGGAAATCAATGTTTGTAATTTATGAAACAATGGAAAAGGTCAGGAAATACCCACTTCAATCATGAATCCTAAAAGAGGAAGTATAACTAACAGTAATAGAGGGTTTGACCTCAACCCAACCCAACTGTCACAACATAATCCACCCAAAATCTCAAAGCAAACCACAAAGAACAGAAAACCCTAAATCAACGACTAACCCTAGATTGCGAAGCTATTCAATAGATTAGGAAGACCACGAAATATTTCTTACCTCGAAGCTGCTACAATGGAGTTGGAAAGCTCGGAATGCGCTTCAATGGAGGTCATAAAGCTCGACAGAATGCGCTTCAATGGAGGAGAGCTAGAAAGAGAGGAGTTGCGCGGCAATGGAGGTGAGAAAGCTCAGAATGCGCTTCAATGGAGGACAACTATGGTGAAAATTCGGACCTATGCGTGAAGGAGATCAATGGTGAGGGTAGGCGAGAACGAGAGAAGGAAGATTAATTGAAGGGGAAAGCAAGGGAATGAAATAAACTGAAGGAAGAAGAAGAGTATTTCACGAATTAAGGCGGTTTTTTTATTACTTTGGGCACCGGTTCGAACCGTTTGGAAATATAATTTTCCCACCGGTTTGGGTTGAACCGGTGGCAAATCCCTTTTCCCTCTTTTTTTTTTTTTTTTAAAAAATACACATTTAGCACCGGTTCGAACCGGTTTGAAAACCAACATTTGGCACCGGTTTATAAGGAACCGGTGCGAAAAGGGGGGTGCCTTTTTCAATTTTTCTACTAGTGATTTCGGCCTTACTTGGATGAATTTGGATGAAAATGGTTCCTAAAACTTAGTTAATTGGTTTTTTTTTTTTTTTTTTTTTTTTTTTTTTTTTTTTTGTGATTTCAAGCCCTATACACCTAAAACTACCTATTATTAACATGTTATGAGAAAGAAAGAGTTCATTTGGTAAGAAATGAAGAAAATGGGCAAAGTAGAAGTCATTTCGGCCTTACTTGGATGAATAATTTGGATGAAAATGGTTCCTAAAACGTAGTTGATTGATTTTTTTTTCTTTTTTTCTTTTTTTTTTTTTTTTTTTTTTTTGTGATTTCAAGGCCTATACACCTAAAACTACCTATTATTGACATGTTATGAGAAAGAAAGAGTTCATTTGGTAAGAAATGAAGAAAATGGGCAAATTTTCGGCCTCACTTGGATGAAAATGGTTCCTAAAACTTAGTTAATTTGTTTTTTTTTTTTTTTTTTTTTTTTTTTTTTTTTTTTTTTTTGTGATTTCAAGCCCTATAATCCTAAAACTACCTATTATTGACTTGTTATGAGAAAGAAAGAGTTCATCTGGTAAGAAATGTAGAAAATTGGCAAAGTAGAAGTCATTTCGGCCTTACTTGGATGAATTTGGATGAAAATGGTTCCTAAAACTTAGTTAGTTGTTTTTTTTTTTCTTTTTTTTTTTTTTTTTTTTTGTGATTTCAAGCCTTATACACCTAAAACTTAATGAGGAAAAAAGAGTTCATTTGGTAATAAATTAGAAAATGGGCAAAGTAGAAGTCATTTCAGGCTTACTTGGTTCTATTTTGTTGAAATTGCTTACTTTAACTTAGTAAGTTGCTCCTTTTCATATGTATATCTTGTTGGAGACGTACCAGAAGAAAGTTGAATAAGCAAGCACTCAAGGGATTCGGACGAGCCCGAATAAGTTGTATTGGGAAATTGTGGGTGGTCACAACAAGAAGCACGACTAGAAAACAGGCAATCAACGACGGAAAAAATCCGTCGGAAGACCCTGAAATTCCGTCGGAACGCATCGTCGGAAGACCCTGAAATTCCGTCGGAACGCATCGTCGGAAGACCTTTTGTAGGAATTTCGCGATATTCCGTCGGAAAGGTCTATTCCGACGGAATTTCCGATGGATTATGTTCTGTCGGCGCTTTTGTTGAATGTAGGTGAAAATCCGTCGCAAGTTTCCGACGGAAATTCCCGTCAGAGTAGGATATGTTCCGTCTTCCATCGGTGGGGGAGATATTCCGACGCAAATTTCCGTTCCGACGGAAATTTCCGTCGGAAAAGGTATATTCCGACGGGAAATTCCGTCGGAAAAGTAAATAAAAAAAAATTAAAAAAAAAATGCACCACATTCCCCACCCAGATCTACCCCGCCACCAGCCCACACCACCCACCCATCAGCCCACCCACCAAACCTCCCCCACGCCACGCCACCCCACCCCACCCAGACCCAGGCAGCCCACCCCACCCAGACCAGACAGCCCACACCACCCACCCATACAACCCACACCACCCACCCATACAACCCACACCACCAAACCTCCCCCACGCCACCCACACCACCGACACCACTAGAATAGCCCACCCACCACCACCGAACCACCAGAACAGTCCACCCACCACCACCGAACCACCGGAACAGCCCACCCACCACCACCGACACTAGCACACCACCACCATTAACCCTTAAAACCGGAAAAAACCCAAAAAATTCAAAAAAACCAAAATTAAACAAGAAAAATTAATAGAAATGTACAAATATATAATTATCTAATAAATTTTATAAATTAACATTACAATTACATATACAATTAACTAGATCTAAACATTTATTCAAAAAAAAAAACATCTAAATACAAACCTAACTTTCAAGATCTACAATTGATGTTTAGGTTGTTATGATGAAACCGAGTCAAGCCTGGTTTCGACGCCGAACCTCATTCGTTCCTGGAAAATTCGTCGGAAAACTTGAGCCGCGAGTGAGGGAATGAAGCCATTTATGGGTTGCGGTGAAAGCTCCGGTGAGTGAGTGAGGGAAGCCTCGTTGCTGTGAAAGAGGAGATGAGGAGAGAGAAAGAGAGGAGGAGAGGAGAGAGAAAGAGGAGGAGGAGGAGGAGGAGGAGGGGAAGAGAGGAGAGGAAGGTATGCAAAACGGCTGGGAGAGAGAAAGAGAAATGAAAAGGGAAGGGGGTAGGGGTCCGGTTTTAGTGTGAGAGTTTGATTTTTTTTTTTTTTTTTTTTTTTTTTTTTTTTACAAAAAAAAATTCCGTCTGAAAATGCCTAAGTTCCGTCGGAAATTTCCGACAGAATTAAAATCCGTCGGAAATTTTCCTACAGATATAAAACCGTAGGAAATTATTAGGTTCCGACGGATTATATTCCCTCGGAATTTAAATCTTCCGACGGAAAATTCCGTCGGAAGCAGTAAATTCCGAGGGATTAAAAATCCGTCGGAATATTTCCGAGGGATTATCCGTCGCAACTAACATTTTCCGACGGAATTTTTTGACAGACCAAAATTCCGTCCGAATATTCAAATTTTCCAACGGAAAATACGTCCGTTAGAACAAATCCGTCGAAAAACAACCTATTTCTAGTAGTGAAGGGTCGTGTAAAGGGACTTGGCCAAAGTGCAGAGCTGTACTATGGCAAGAGGATGGGTCGAGTTTCCACGTTTTCACAGCAGTACACGCCTTCCGTTGTTTCCCAGATGCAGGATCAGATGTAGCATAGGGTGCAGGCTCTTCGCAGTGAAATCTGGAGTGAACTAGAAGTCGAGATGGAAGCCCGATTTGAAGCCCAAATGGCCGCAATAGAGAGGAGAAACTAGGAGAAGTGGGATGAGTTTATGCGTCGTTTCCCGAGCGACACATGTTCCACCGTTCAACCTTATAGTCGAGACCCAGGGACGACCCGGGTAGTGGCGGTGCAGGCAGGGTACTCCGGCTATAACTTAGCATTTGTGTATGTAGTATGTATAGTAACTTAATTTGGATTATGTTTTATGGTTGCACACAATATATATATATATATATATATATATATATATATATAAATATTTCCGTAATTAAATCTTGAATTTAATTTTATCTTGAATTAGGTGTAAGAGGTATAGGTTTCGAATGGTGGAAATTCCAGGTTTGTTGCGACGGAAAAATAATCCGTTGGAATATGGCGACGGATTTTCAAACGCTTAATTCCGTCGGGAAATCATATATTTTATGAGGGAAAAAATCCGTCAGAACGTTGCGACGAAAATATCCGTCGAAATGATCTGACGGATTATATTTCCGTCGCAAAAAAGTAGACCTTCCGACGGAAATAATCCATCGGAAACTTCTGTGGTTACAACAGATTTTTCCGTCGGAAGAGGTATATTCCGACGGAATTTTTTTTCGTCGGAAATTTGCGACCGAATCTCAAATTAAGTCAAATTATGCGCTGATAGATTTAAATTCGTTGGAAATTCCGTTGGAATATGGTCTTCCGACGGAAAATCCCTTGGAAAAAATGAAATTTCCTACAAAATGTTTCGCGACAGAACATTCCGACGGAAAGATGATTTCCGACGGAATATCAAATGAATTCGACGGATTTTTTCCGTTGGAATCAAGCTGTTTTCTAGTAGTGATAATGTCTTTAATTTGCATGATTCCACGGAAGTAGGTTTGATTGATTAGGGGGAAGCCATTGACAACTTAGAAGAGATCTTTGGTATTTATATATGGGGTGTACCTTTCATTGTGAACATATATATCATTGATTGGTTGGGGGTAGGAATTTGTCTTGTATTAATTATGTTGGTGGTGATAATTAATTCTAAATACTAATTTTGATTTAATTTCTTATTTATTTTAGTAGTTTGATAATTACTACCTATTTTGATGGACTTAATTATTTATACTCTATGGCAACCCAATATTGATGCTACCTTCTCTGTGTGATCAACCTTTACTTACCTTACTACATAATTAGGAGGATTCGTTATGTTTTTATTATTTTTGTTAGGTGTGCGGCCGCTTATCAACTTTATTGGGGTGGGGCGGCCGATTCGTGGTTGGGGTGTTTTATGGGTAAGGTAATTGGTCCGTAAGCGGGGGCGTCCGGCTGTAGGGGAGGAGGAGGTTGGGTGGAGAAAGGGTGGTTGGGAGGCCGCTTGGTCAGAATTAATGAATGTACGGAGATGGGAAGGGGAAAGGGAAAGGAAAGAGGAAAGATAAATAAAAAATGAAAAAAATGTACTTGGACGAAATACAAAGTGACATGTGGCATGTGAATCTATAATATTGGTTACCAATCGATCGGGGATCAATAATCGAGGTCAATAATACCCGCCAAAAGTGGGATTATTAACAACGAATGAATCGGTAAAAGGTGAAATTATTAATTAGAATCAATTTTTTTTTTTAAAAAAAAACAAGTAAAAAACTATCATATTTAGAATCTCTTGTTATAAAGCTAAAATTATGGCCACAAGTACTTATTGAGATAATACAATCATATTTGTGTATGTCATAATAATTAAACATTCTTAATCATTCATGTTAACATGTTACTTCCTCTATCCCTACCTATTTTTTTGCTCCATTGGACTTAGCAGAGTCTCCAAGACGCATTTTGTAACGTAAATACTTCCTCTGTTTCTTATTAATCACAATAGTAGGCCTTACACAAAGTATTAGGAAATTTATAGGGTAGGGATTATAGGGTAAATTTTATAATATAAAGTATAGTTAGTGAGAATATATTTTATTATTAGTAGGAGAGAGAAATAATAAAAAAAAAGTAGTATAAGTGGGGTTTGTATGAGAGAGAAATAATTAAATATTTATACAAGTGGGGTA